GAGCTAGATATTATTTTTCAATATCCACGTTTTATCCCTTTTCAGGTATAGGATCGAACAAGAACTGGGGACAGAGATCAAGCAGATTCCTCCACATATAGATCAAGCAATTTACTGCCAATGATCTGTGATGACTGCAACTTACTTTGTCTTAAGGACTGGTGGTGAGTAATGGATCCAAAAAATAAATGTGTATATGCATATATATTAACTTATTTTAGAACTGCATACCTTTACTAAAAGTAGGGTTTACGAAAAGGCCCACTCATCTTTCAGAACTATAATCCACCCTTTACAATGATTCAGACTCTATGAAGCTTATTTTCTCTCAACGAATATGCTAAATTGACTTTACTGACGAGGAATTTGTAAAATAGAAAAGTTGAGGGAGTATTTATAATACTCGTATTAGCAACTTTTTCTCCTTGTAATAGCCTATAATTCTTGTATCAGCTATCATAATTATGTTTAGCTCTCAACAGAAAATCTTTTTCACCGTCTTATCCTCCTTTAAACAACTTTAGTTAAACTGAAATACCAATAAAAGGTTTATTTTTAAAAAGTCATTGGATATTTTGTGCTAATTGTTAGCGAGTAAGTGTGTTCAATTTTTTTATCTGTAGCAAACATGTGGAGGCCTTGAAAGATGTGTGAATCTGTTATTTTCTATTCCGAATGCAGTCCGATCAAGTCCATACATAACTAAAGCACAGTCATACTATTGCCCCTTTCTACATTTAATGGCCAATATCACATTTGTAGGAACATTGACGCCTGTGGAAGCCCTTTGAGGATTGAACATCAGGATTTTTTGTATGAAATCATGGTTTTGATAATGAAAATGCATTGTGTTGACCCCAAAATTTCCAAAATATTGGGCATTTCATGGCCCTTGGACAGTTGGACTCTGAACGATATGATATCACCTTGGGAATCATACCTTTTGTTGCTTTTATAGGTCATGGTTTAGTTTCTATATTTTATATTGGGGTTAAGCCATGCCAAATCCTGCATTTCTTTATGTAGTTATGTGCAATTAATATATATGGTTCCAGTGCTACTTTCTACTGTCGAGTATCGAGTTGTGTTAGTTTAGTTGAAAGGTAATAAACATCTTGCAGTGCAACGGAACTAATTGGACTGTTATTTGACCAAGTAACATTGCTCAATATTGTTCAACAAATACTTTTGATGGCATATTTGTTACTGTGTTAATCGTTCATTTTTTTTCACTTATAATAAGATGTACTCGTACTTTCCAATCTCGATTTTCTACGGATTCAAGGTAACAGTTAAGTTTGCTACTTGAATTTTCTTGGTAAAAGTAGGATTGGTTTTGAGCTATAATTGAGGTGATGGGAACTTGAGCTGTGGTAGCATGTGACGATGTAGAAGCTGATATAGAGACATGGCAGTGTTTGGATAAATAGTGGTTAGGTAACTTGGGTTGGGGCCTTTTCTTTTCCTTATTCTTGTTTTTTTTTTTCTTTATTTTTTTCCTTGTAAATTTCATTTGTTCATTTCTTTATGTTTATTTTCCTTTTTAAGGATTAAAGAACGAGGATGAATTATGCTTCAGTTTTGTTTGAGTTGATGCAGTTTGAATAAATCCATTCCCTCAACATAAAAGTTGTTATAGGAATGGTCTTGTGAAGCTGATAATTGTATATTGTGAAGCTTAATATTGTGGGGGCAATAATATGCTGAAGGGTAGTTTTTTTAACCCTCTTATATTTTTTTTTATTACACCTCTCTTTTTTATTCCTTGTATGACACATGTATATATATATGCTAACCCACCACTAAGATCATTTTTATTTGTACACATGCTAACTAACTTTCATTTTCAATTATTCAACATTCTTTGAAAAATAATCTTAAATTCAGTCCTTTTAAATCTTAATCAGGTTGCAGGATAGAAAATCTCTCCCAATTCAAAAACTAAAGTTCCTATATAAACAGTTTTGTTATGAAGTCAACAGTTGGCTCCATAGTGGAGCCAATCTTCTATATACAATAAGTAAATCATACTATATTAATAAAATTATTAGTATTTATTTAAGTAATCAGAGAATTTGGTATGATTTATTTGCTGTATATAGAAAGTTGACTCCACTATGGAGCTAACTGTTGGCTTCATAGCAAAACTGTCTATGTAAAACTGCCTATATGAGTATAAGACAAACTCTCCTCTCTAATCCTTCTCAGTCGAGTTAGGGCTGCCCCCTCTCTCAATCATCAAAGCTGCCATTCTCAGTCGGTTCAGCATGCAGTCACCACTACACCTAACGACTAACAGTAATCCAACATCCGCGACCACCAAGGTATTTAACGACCTTCCCCTAGACAATCCATCTATCGGCAATTTCAAGTTTGTCTTGCCAGTATATCTTTGGATTTTCATTTTACTGCACATTGCCAACGGTATAGGGGCGGGCTACAACTGCGACGTGGCGTGGCTTTGGCTCTCGGGCCAAGGACTAGTCAATTCGTTCATTTTGTTTGAGAAGATGCGAACCCGTCAAGAGAATCCTGGATGGAACGTGTTGGGTTTCGAACATGAGGATGATCTACGCTTGCTAGTGTCTGGAGGCCAAGGAATGAACTTATGCCGTTTGTTGAGCAGAAATGCACGCTAAATTAAGTGCCTGAGAGACCAGGTTATGACCGACTGACTGGATCGTTATTCGGTTTAACTATATGTGTGAGCAGATGCTCAGTGACTGCAAGCTTGGTCAACATGTATAATCTAACTACGGGTGGAATTTCGATTATGATTCAGATCCTATCGCTCCGAGGCGGCGCTAGCTGCCTCCACCTTTTCCATCCACCGATGCTATGTTTTTGTCTCTGTGGGGAAATATGGCGAAGACGGACTTAATTAATGTTATTAATGGTTCAATTATGGTATAATTATTTCTTTTCTTAGTTTGATTTTATTGTAGTTAAGATTCAGTATATGTATGATTGATGATGTTCTGACATGTGGAGAAATATTTTTGGATGTTCTGGCTGTATTGTTGTTGTTGTTGTTGTTGTTGTTGTTGTGGAAGATTCAATCATTTAGCTGATGTTATTAATGTCTTTTGTTTGGTATATTAAAAAAAAATTTGCATTATCATGGGAGTTTATAGCATAAACCTCAAATAAACTAAACTTAAATTTGAAGAAGAAAAAGTTCGTAAATTTACAATAAAAATGTATTATTTATATAAAAAAATATTTTTTTTAAATGCTCGTATCTTTTAAAAAATACTCCCTCCTATTCATAATAAGTGTCGTTTTGGGAAGTTGCACACTAATTAAGAATAATTTTTTTGTCAATAATACCCTCATTAATGAAGATAGAGATGGATGTTTTAAAAAAAAAAGATGAAGAGAATATGAAAAGACGTAGTGTATTTATTAACTAAATGAGGGTAATAATGAAAAAATATGTACAAAAGATCCAAAACGACATTTATTTTGGTTAATAGTTGATAAAGTCAAAATGACATTTAAAAAGAATAGGAGGTAGTATTTCATAAAAGATAGCAGATATGCAAATTAGCCTAANGCAAATGATGGTTATTCTTTTCTTCAATATTTTTTTCTTTTCAGTCTATGGCATCCTTTTCGTTTTTTAGGGATGCAAATTGAGACTGTTTTAGTGGGTTTCAATTTGTGTATACTTTGGCATATTTATTTGAGACTAATTTGACCAGTGAACCAGTTGCTCAACCGATTTTATGCTCAATCCGGTTATGAGAACCTTTGTGTTCGATTAAAGTATTATCCGGTGTCTCTGTTTTGGACAAGACCCAAACAAAAGCATGTAAAGAGAAAGAAACCTTCTCTAGCTCGAGCTCGCGGAGCTCAGTGGTGGTCGAGATAGGGCGAAAGCCTGTTGAAGATGTCGCTCGAGCTCGCGGAGCTCGGCGGTGGTCGAGATAGGGCGAAAGCCTGTTGAAGATGTCGCTCGAGCTCGCGGAGTTCGTCGATGGTGGAGATAGGGCGAAAGCCTGTTGAAGATGTCGCTCGAGCTCGCGAAGCTCGGCGATGGTCGAGATAGGGCGAAAGCCAGTTGAAGATGTCGCTCGAGCTCGTGGAGCTCGGCGGTGGTCGAGATAGGGCGAAAGCCTGTTGAAGATGTCGCTCGAGCTCGTGAAGCTTGGCGGCGGTCGAGATAGGGCGAAAGCCTGTTGAAGATGTCGCTCAAGCTCGCGGAGCTTGTCGATGGTGGAGATAGGGCGAAAGCCTATTGAAGATGTCGCTCGAGCTCGCGGAGCTCGGCGGTGGTCGAGATAGGTCGAAAGCGTGTTGAAGATGTCGCCCGAGCTCGCGGAGCTCTGCGGTGGTCGAGATAGGGCGAAAGCCTGTTGAAGAATTCGTTCGAGCTCGCGGAGCTCGGCGGTGGCCAAGATATGACGGAAGCCTGTTGAAGATGGCGCTCGAGCTCGCGGGGCTCGACGGTGCGCGAAAGCCTGTTGAGTCAGCATCACTCAAGCTCGAGAAGCTCGGCAGGTGTCCGAATCGAGTGAGTATCGAGCTTATCCTAGCCCGACATGAAGTTAAACTCGTCGCCGCATTAGGACAGAAGAGTCGTTATGTTTATAAGCTCGCCAGTATCATTGTGTTTATATGCGCAGCAGCGGGTCATCGGGCTCGTAGACAAATTTAGGGCGAACGTCTGTTGTGGCGTTGCCCGAGTTCGCGGAGCTCGCCGCCGGGTCCTCGAACTTGTAGCCAAATTTAGGGCGAAAGCCTGTCGTGGAGTGGCCAGAGCTCTTGGAGCTTGGCAGTGGGTCCTTTGACTTGTAGCAGGGTCGAGGACAGTTAGCCCTCGAGGCGGTACCCGAGCTCGTGAAGCTCAGAAATATAGGCCACAGTGGAGGTGCCCGACTCGAACCGGTAGAGACGATATCGATTGGAATAGGTCGTTTGGATCGCGTGGACCTTTGTTCTGGCGAGTATTCACTCCGTGAACCGGCTGGGGTGGTTAGCTCGGAGGACCCAAAGGAGTTTTAGTTCTGCCTTGATACTCGACCTTGTTAGAGAGTTTGCGTATACAGAGACCTCACCTCGTGGAGGTCGTAAATGCGGGAGTCATCGTTACAAATTAAGCAAATAGCGGGAGTGTTAAACGTATTATGGTGGCAGAACATCGAACAGGTTGCTCGGGAGCCACAAACTCAAGGAAAGTACAAAGTTGGCCCGAGAGCCATAGTTGCACGATAAATGCAGTGGAACTCCGACGTAAACCATGGGGCCTGGACGAGCCCATGATCTTGACGCCATAGTCCTACGAGATAGACTTGGGCAAGAAATGATTGTTCTACTCTTAGACAAGTCTTATATTCATAAGCTCGTCTAGAGTGGGGGGGCTAGATGATGTAGCACCAAAAATAACTCGGTGAACCGGATGAGCTGTTAGCTCGGATAATGGCCGGTCCAAGGGAGCTTGGAGTCTATTTTATGTAATACATGGTATTGTTAAAGATATTCATAAAAGTTGGTGTATATCTACACAGTTATTGAGGCGTATCAGAATTTTGATTTACTGAGAAAACTCATTATCTTGGGGAGTAAGTCATTAAACCCCTTATAAATAAGGGACCAGATTCATTTTCTAATCCTAAGCTCTTAAGATTACTTAAGATACACGATCAAAATATCTGTTTTCTGACTTGAGCGTCGGAGCCCCAGCGCTTTGCAGGTCGGTCCGGTTCTTGAAGACGAAGGCAATCGAGACGTTCGAACTCTCACGCAACCGAGATAAGGCGGTTCGACCGGCAATCTCGTGAGTCGATTATTTTGGCTCATCAAATGGTTAGTACTAAGAATGTTGCAATGGAAGAGAAAATCTATAAATGGAATATTATGCTACATAGGATATTACCCCCTCTTTCAGGTCGCATAAATCAGGCCCATATAAGATATTCTAAATCATGCTGACCTAGGTTTTTTTTTTTTAATTAAAGTTGAAAAAGAATAAGAATTCCAAAAACATAACTACTCCCATGTAACTAAGAAAAACCATAAAAAAGAAGAATAAGAATTCCAAAAAAACTAGATTTCTTCAAAGTGGGAAATTGTAAATCTAAAGAAAAAAAAAACAGAGAATAAATTAAAAAAAATATTCATTTTAACCAAAAAAATAAAACCAATTTAAGATTAGATGTTAAAAAAAAAAGAGGATTATCT